TGTAGCGTTTTGATGAGGGAATTCTTCTGTGCTGGATGGTGGTGGGAATCAGGTTTTAGATAGGAATCTGTGTGGGTGGCTTTCCTGTAGACAGAGTGTCCCAACGAGCCGTCAGGCCTCTTCTCAAACAGAACATCCAGGAATGGTAGCTTACCATCCTTCTCCACTTCCATTGTGAATTTTATGGATGGGTGTAATGAAATTGATGTGGTTGAAAAATTGGTTCAATGCTGGCAGGCCATGTGGCCAAATGACGAAAGTGTCACCTACGTATCTCTTCCACAATGAAGGACGTAGGGTGGATGTCTGAATGGCATCTGTTTCAAATTTCTCCATGAATACATTCGCTATCACTGATGATAAGGGGGAACCCAAGGGGGTACCTTCATTTTGTTTGTAGAAAGTGCCATTCCAGGTGAAGTAAGCGTTGGTAAGGCAGTGCCTAACCAAAGTTGGTACATCAGGATTCAGTCCATGTTGGACCAAGTCTTCAATTATTGCTAAGGTGTCAGGTACAGGAACCTTGGTGAACAGAGAAACTACATCAAATCATCTGGAGGCAGTGAGATGCCCTTGATTAGAGAGACCAAGTCAGCTGAGTTAAGTACTGCTGAGGTAGTCTTTCCCGTGAATGGAAGCAAGGTGTCAGACAGAAAACGGGCCAGTTTTTTGGTAGGTGAGTTGATAGTGGAAATGATGGGCCTAAGTGGAGTACCTTCTTTATGGATTTTAGGAAGACCATAGAATCTGGGTGGTCTAGCAGCAGAAGGTTTTAGGGAGAGCCGCTTGAATGGTTCGATTAGAGAAGTCGAACTGGTAATGATATTGTTGGTTTTTGTAGCCAGGCGGTTGGTAGGATCTTTGTTCATTATGGTGTAACTGCCATAATTAAGAAGGTCCTGGATTTTGTTGTTATATGTGGTTTTATCCATGATGACAGTGGCATTGCCCTTATCGGCTGAGAGGATGACTATGTCCTCTCTCTTTTTCAGAAAAGGAGTGCTTACTTACGCTGGCACTGGTTCCAACAACAACAACAACAACAAAAAAACGCTCCAGCTAATGAGACAAAATTAGCATACACAAATGAACGTTCACGCTTTCAATTTTGCTGTATTGATGGCATGCTTTGGACACTGGGGATTAGCTAAAAACAGACCGAGACTAAAAAGCTAAAGTCGAAGCAATTTCCTTTACAGATGAGCACGGAGGGCAACTCCTCCTCTTCCTGTTTACAGGCGTAAGCCTGGCGGTGGAAATTCCGTGTTCATAAGGGGCCGTCCATAAATGACGTGACGCGATTTTCGACGATTTTTGACCCACCCCCCCCCCCCCCCCCCCCCCCAAAACCATATTTCCATTTTGAAAATAAAACATGGTACTCTTTAAACTATTGTCATTGTAGCGCGTATTTAATGTGGCGCTGCACTCTGATGTTGTAGGTAGAAAACATTCATGAAAAAGTCTATTTAATTAAGTAGAACGTGTTGTCTGTATTTATTTATGAAGTTGCGTTATTTTGATGTGACGTCACATTTCTCAACCCCCTCGTCACACATCGTCACAAATGTCTGACCCCCCCCAGGTGCGTGACGTCATTTATGGACGGCCCCTATGGCGGCGGTGGGGGGGTGGGGTGGGGGCGAGTACATCCACAGGTCAACTGTTGACCTCTCCACCACGCGGTTACTCATTCTAGTCGACTCGAAGAGAGCGGGATGATTGGCCGAGTCAACCCCATACCCCCTCCCCCCACCAAGGACCCACCAAAACAGGATTCGACTCCTAACCGGAGCGATCGCTGCTCGCCCCTGAGGCCACACCGCACGTGAGCGCGGCTTATTTGAGCAGAGAGAAGCGTGGCCAATGCATTGCCGCTGACCACGACACAGACAACCGTTGGACCGTTACGTCCCAATGACACGTGTGCTGCAACGGCCCTCCGGCGAAGTGCCCTTTGTTACTTAAAAGAAGAAGGTACATGTGGTGCATCGATCGCTGAAGTGTGTGAATACAACGTTTTTTTATTTTTGCAAGCGTATAACAACGAAACAACAAAATCGCGTGACAACTTTTCTTTACCTTCTTTGGTTCTTTCGGTAAGGTCACGTAGAATGAGAATAAAACAATAATAAAATAACACAATAAAATTCTCACGACGTTTCGGCCACAACGCAAGCGGCCGTCTTCAGGTGAAAGGTGCAGAACTGCCGGGACTACAGAGCTTCAACATTTTGAATGTTGAAGCTCTGAATGTTGAAGCTCTGTCGTCCCGACAGTCCTGCACCTTTCACCTGAAGACGGCCGCTTGCGTTGTGGCCGAAACGTCGTGAGAATTTTATTGTGTTATTTTATTATTGTATTCTCATTCTACGTGACCTTACCGAAAGAACCAAAGAAGATGAATCCTTGCAGTCACGAAAGCTTTAAATCGAAACGTTTCTTTTAGTGAGACGAACGCGACGGACAAACATACGATGTGAGTGAATACTCATCGTGTCGTTAAGCCATCGTGTTTGGTGATGATTACAGACGATTAAAAAAAAAAAGAAAACACGAATTGTGGCACAGTTAAGATCACCACTGCCGTATATTCTATATGGATTATAAGACGCACTATATATCAATTTTTTTTTAAATCGGTATTTTGGAAGCAAAACGTGTTGCATGCATCTTCCGATCCGCGTGTAGAGGTGTGAGCGTGCACTCGACCGGGCGAGTACAGACATCGACACAGGACGCACGTTTCGGTGCCGTGACGTAGCGGTTAGCAATACCGGACTCATACTCTTTGGTTCTATTCGGTAAAGTCACGTAGTAGGTAAAAATACAATAACAAAAAATCACGACCTTTCGGCCACAACACAAGTGGCCTTCATCAGGTGAAGGGACCGGACTGTCCAGAGGACAGCGTTGGAGTGAAGACAGCCAAGCCCAGGTCGCGTCCTTTAAGCTGTGTGGGAGGGAACAACAAAAAAACGCCTTGACAAAGGAATTAGCATAACAATGATGTACTGGACCGGCACGGGGGGGGGGGGAGGGGGGGGGAAGTTTACATAATGTTGGTGTGAAGGGAAATAAGCTGCTGTGAAAGTTTGGAATACCACTACCGGACTCGCAATCCAAAGGTCACCGGTTCGATTTGACCTCTCGGTTTTGGTCGGTCGAAACAATGACGCAGGTGCGGGTAACTCCCCGCTTCTTCCACGACGTCTGTCTGGTGGGCATGGAAGAGTAGGCCAAATCCTGTCCCCTCCAGGAGCGCTCTCTGGAGGTGGCCCTAATGCCAGCAGTGGCATGAGCAAGGATTTTGCGGGGCTGCACCTCTGACTTAATTACTATTTTGATTTGAAGCTTTCGTGACCGCAGGGATTCATATTCTTGGTTCTTTCGGTAAAGCCACGTGACCGAAGGAACCCAAGAATATTAATTACTATTTTTTCATGTCGCCAGTTGGCCAGAGGTCGGAGCACTTAAGCAGCCAATGCTGAGAACCGGGGTTTCAAATCCAGGTTTCACCCACCCGTGATTAAACTGGACACTCACTCAGCTCAAGCAAGTCGAGAGTTACGGATGACCGTACAAATAACCCACCGTGTCAAATGAGGTTTGGCGCTCAATTTGGCTAAAATTCCCAGGCGCTGAGAATGAAACATTCGGGGGGTGGGTGGGGGGGGGGGGGGTCTGACGGTCACGTGATAGTCGCGTGGCCGAGCGTGCAGGGCAGTACGTCCCGCTGCTGTGCGTAGAGAATTAAAATTAAGAGGCGCCTTCAAAAATCCCTTCCACAGCAGCCCTTATCAGGGATGCTTCTCTGCTCTCATGAGATCTGGGGGAGGGGCGGCGGGCGGGGTGGGTGGGGGAGGCGGTTGGAAACCGACTAAGTATGCGCACGCTATGTGTGATTTAATTTATTTTATTTTTTCCCACCTACGTGACTTGACCGAAAGAACCAAAGAGTATGGATCCCTGCAGTCACGAAAACTTCAAATCTAGAATTATGGGCAGGAGACGGCGAATGGCGATGCGAGGGACGGGCGCGTTGCGTTCGGTAAGAGCGGCCGCGTGACTCTTATTGAAGCGAGTTGAAGTGGAGGAGCCGCCGCCTGAACCGGCAACATCGCGGGGGGTGGGAAAAACCCGGTTCTCTTTTTTTGGCCGACAAATCGGGTTATTGGTTTCGATGGAATTTTGCCTATTAAAACCTGCTTTTATCATCGGCGTCTCGTGCACGCTTCAATCCTGCTCCTCCTCCTCGTCGTCCTCATCGTCGCTCTCGCCGCTGGACTCGGTGTTGAGGTTCGACTTGACGAGGACGAGCTTCTCGACTGCGTTGGGCGCCAGGCTCTTTACTCAAACTTGGAATGGGACAAATCCCATCGTCGAGAAGTTTCGCTCAGACGCAGCAGCGGCGGCGGCGGCGGTCGACGCGGCCATGCCATAGGGGCGGCTGAGCCCGGGCCCCCGGGCCGAACGCCGCCAACGGGGTGCGTGCGACTGAAATCCCGACTTGACTTTAATTCAACCGAATAAAACCGGATTTGGGCAGGATCCAGGTGAATTCTAGATTTGAAGCTTTCGTGACTGAAAGGATCCATACTCTTTGGTTCTATTCGGTAAAGTCACCACGTAGGTAAAAAACAATAAAACCGACAGAGGGAGCTGCTTTAAAGTAGTGGTACCACAAACTTTCGCAGCTCTTAAAAATTCCCTTTTTTACACCATCAATATGTAAACTCCCCCCTACCCCCCCCGCGCCAAACGGCAAGTCCACCCGCACGTACACCACCGCTATGCTAAGTCGGCCAATCAAATGCTAATTTTTATGCTAATTCCTTTGTCAAGGCACCTTGTTTCCTCGCACACAGCTTAAAGGTCCGCGGTCTGAGCGTGGCTGTGTTTCACTCCAGCGCTGTCCTCGAGACAGTCTGGTCCCTTCACCTGACGAAGGCCGCTTGTGTTGTGGCCGAAACGTCGTGATTTTTTGTTGTTTTATTTTTCACCTACGTGACTTTACCGAATAGAACCAAAGAGTAAGGATCCAGGTGCTCCGGTTTTATATGAAAACCGATTAAAGCCCGAATGAATAAAACCGGGCCATGCCAGCCTTTTAACATCGGCGACTCCGCCTCGACTGAGTCAACTTCTGCCCACACGCAGCCACGTTCGTCTCTCCGCAACCGAAACTGGTGAAGCGGGTTCAAAAAATAAAGCAGTAAGTGCATAACTCTTTGGTTCTTTCGGTAAAGTCCACGTAGGGTTAGAAATAAAATGAAATAAACCACGACGTTTCGATCGCCGATTCTGCAGCTGTCCTGCTGTATCGGTTCCGCCTGATGACGGTCGCTTGCGGTGCGGTCGAAACGTCGTGATTCATTTGATTTTATTTCCAACCTACGTGGACTTTACCGAAAGAACCAAAGAGTCATGGATTCCTGCAGTCACGAAAGATTCAAATCAAAAAGTAAGTACGTCAAATATGTGGGCCGGTGCCTCTTGCTATGAAACCCAAACCGGCAGAGGGAGCTGCAAGTGTGCCTACTCTTGTCAGATCTGCCCTCGATGCTCCGTGCGGTCTGCTCGCTCGCCGTTCTTCGACAGCTGTATTTGCTTTATCCTCCACTCGCTGGTCCTCACGCCCGCTCTCATCCGGCTGGACATTGGTTTGCCTCTGGGTTGGATCATCGAAGTTGAGGCTCCCATATCTTCCGGGGGGGGAGGGGGAAGAAACAGAAAACAGTGATGTTAAATCAACAATCCATGCGCAAGTGTGGACGTATGCGTCTGCGTACGTGTGTGTCTGCGTGTGTGTGTGTCTGCGTGTGTGGGGGGAGCGGTGGTGTAGCGGTTTGGTACGCTGCACTATGAATATGGCGACCCGGGTTCGATTCACGGCCAAAACCAGTGACGATTATAAGAACCGGTCCTGGGCCTACTCCAGGTCGACTCAGCCTCAAATGAGTACCTGGTGCGGTGTGTAAATATCGCCACTGGGGAGACAAAGGCGGTCTGTTGTGGTGTTGGCCACCCACCCCGCTCGTGTGCCGTGCCGGCCTTCATACTGTAGGTGCTCGCTAGCAGCACTTGCCCCTAAGAGTCTGTTAAAGCTACGTACGGAGGATCTTTGTTGTCTTTGTTTGCTGTGTAGTGTGCATCCGCAAGTCATCTCGACCAGTCAACCCGTGGCACCTGGGTCTGTTCCGCGACCTCCTGCTTGCGAGCCATCCAACACTTCCACGTGGCCTCAAGGTGCACCGCGCACTGGCACAAGCGACGTGGGGATGTCGCCGCCACTTAGTGGCGAACGGTGGTTTTCGTGAATGTAGTTAGACGGCCCCCCTTTGCGCGAGGTCACTGGTTCGATGGGTGCAGTGGAAAGAGCGGTGCAAGTATCTCGAATCCGCCCCCTTCCCCCCCCCCGACGATGCCCACCCAGCAGTATGAACAGATAAACCACAGTCGTTTGGTAGGTCGCACGCGGTGGCATAAAGTGTGGGTACTCCCTCCTATTCTAAGACGTCTGGCGGGTGTATAGGAGTAGGTCGCAGATGTACAAACATAGACACAACTTCAAGCGAGAGGATGGTTTTAAATTGCGCAACCATTGGAAAGACGTCATCGACCAAGTCAAACTTTAGCCGCCTTATAATTGCACAGCCGTTTCCATTTCTGCCAGTGGGTTTTAATCGCTTGCGTGCAGTTACACCACCGCTACCCCCTGACCCCCTGCAGCATAACAAAAGGCGGCTTAACTTAGCCCCTCCCCTTCCCACCCACGTCACTTCCTGGCTCCTCCCCCCCCCCCCTTAACCTGTATATATAATCTCGGGTGGCTCAGAGCTCTTCACTTGACACAGCTGATTCTGCTGTGACTGTTCCACGTGAAGACGGAAGCTTGTGTTGCCTCCGAAACGTCGTGATTCAATTTGGTTGTTTTCATTTATGTTATTTTACCTCCGTCGTGACTTTACCGAAAAAAACCAAAGAGTTTGTCACAATACCCAGCCAGAGTGGTTATCGAGAGCTCCCCCCAGTAGCGGCCCTTCCGCCAACAGTGGTATCAGCAAGCAATTGCAGGACTGCCCCCTTTACATTTTATATAGCGTGCAGTTGACTCGGCAAGACTGACGAGTGCACCGCAAACCAGATGAGCCACCTGTGAATGAATTGCATTTGCATTGCGTGAATAGATGAAGAAAAGTCCGTTTTAATATTCTCTCCGCTCGCACGGTTACCGCCCCCCGCCTGACAACAGGGCCCCAGAAGATGAGATCACAGAACTGTTTCTGAAGTCACTTCATTGAGTGCCTTAACAGCACACTGGGATCAACGGGCCCCCAGAAGATGAGATCACAGAACTGTTTCTGAAGTCACTTCATTGAGCGCTTTAATAGCACACTGGGATCAACGGGCCCCAGAAGATGAGATCACAGAACTGTTTCTGAAGTCACTTCATTGAGCGCTTTAATAGCACACTGGGATCAACGGGCCCCAGAAGATGAGATCACAGAACTGTTTTTGAAGTCACTTCATTGAGCAACTTAACAGCACACTGGGATCAACGGGCCCCAGAAGATGAGATCACAGAACTGTTTCTGAAGTCACTTCATTGAGCGTCTTAACAGCACACTGGGATCAACGGGCCCCAGAAGATGAGATCACAGATCTGTTTCGGAAGTCACTTCATTGAGCGACTTAACAGCACACTGGGATCAACGGGCCCCAGAAGATGAGATCACAGAACTGTTTCTGAAGTCACTTCATTGAGCGCTTTAATAGCACACTGGGATCAACGGGCCCCAGAAGTTGAGATCACAGAACTGTTTCTGAAGTCACTTCATTGAGTGCCTTAACAGCACACTGGGATCAACGGGCCCCAGAAGATGAGATCACAGAACTGTTTCTGAAGTCACTTCATTGAGCGCTTTAATAGCACACTGGGATCAACGGGCCCCAGAAGATGAGATCACAGAACTGTTTGTGAAGTCACTTCATTGAGCGCCTTAACAGCACACAGGGATCAACGGGCCCCAGAAGATGAGATCACAGAACTGTTTCTGAAGTCACTTCATTGAGCGTCTTAACAGCACACTGGGATCAACGGGCCCCAGAAGATGAGATCACAGAACTGTTTCTGAAGTCACTTCATTGAGCGCCTTAACAGCACACTGGGATCAACGGGCCCCAGAAGATGAGATCACAGAACTGTTTCTGAAGTCACTTCATTGAGCTCCTTAATAGCACACTGGGATCAACGGGCCCCAGAAGATGAGATCACAGAACTGTTTCTGAAGTCACTTCATTGAGCGCCTTAACAGCACACTGGGATCAACGGGCCCCAGAAGATGAGATCACAGAACTGTTTCTGAAGTCACTTCATTGAGCGCCTTAATAGCACACTGGGATCAACGGGCCCCAGAAGATGAGATCACAGAACTGTTTCTGAAGTCACTTCATTGAGCGCCTTAACAGCACACTGGGATCAATGGGCCCCAGAAGATGAGATCACAGAACTGTTTCTGAAGTCACTTCATTGAGCGTCTTAACAGCACACTGGGATCAACGGGCCCCAGAAGATGAGATCACAGAACTGTTTCTGAAGTCACTTCATTGAGCGCCTTAATAGCACACTGGGATCAACCGGCCCCAGAAGATGAGATCACAGAACTGTTTGTGAAGTCACTTCATTGAGCGCCTTAACAGCACACTGGGATCAACGGGCCCCAGAAGATGAGATCACAGAACTGTTTCTGAAGTCACTTCATTGAGCGTCTTAACAGCACACTGGGATCAACGGGCCCCAGAAGATGAGATCACAGAACTGTTTCTGAAGTCACTTCATTGAGCGCCTTAATAGCACACTGGGATCAACGGGCCCCAGAAGATGAGATCACAGAACTGTTTCTAAAGTCACTACATTGAGCGCCTTAACAGCACACTGGGATCAACGGGCCCCCAGAAAATGAGATCACAGAACTGTTTCTGAAGTCACTTCATTGAGCGCTTTAATAGCACACTGGGATCAACGGGCCCCAGAAGATGAGATCACAGAACTGTTTCTGAAGTCACTTCATTGAGCGCCTTTATAGCACACTGGGATCAACGGGCCTCAGAAGATGAGATCACAGAACTGTTTCTGAAGTCACTTCATTGAGCGACTTAACAGCACACTGGGATCAACGGGCCCCAGAAGATGAGATCACAGAACTGTTTGTGAAATCACTTCATTGAGCGCCTTAACAGCACACTGGGATCAACGGGCCCCAGAAGATGAGATCACAGAACTGTTTCTGAAGTCACTTCATTGAGCGCTTTAATAGCACACTGGGATCAACGGGCCCCAGAAGATGAGATCACAGAACTGTTTCTAAAGTCACTACATTGAGCCCCTTAACAGCACACTGGGATCAACGGACCCCAGAAGATGAGATCACAGAACTGTTTCTGAAGTCACTTCATTGAGCGCCTTAACAGCACACTGGGATCAACGGGCCCCAGAAGATGAGATCACAGAACTGTTTCTGAAGTCACTTCATTGAGCGCCTTAATAGCACACTGGGATCGCACAGGTCGTTTAGATTCTTTGTACAAAGTTCCGGCATGTCAAACTGAAAACATCCCTCATCGGGGCTGGAATAAACCAGACTATGTTTAAAAAAAAAGAAACACTAATTTAACGCGATGTTTTTTTGTTTGTGAAGTCAATTGGGACTTTGCTGAGACCATACCTTTTTCTGAAAGTGCTTAAGGAAAAGTTTAAATCTTATTTCACATAAATAACCTCGTGTTGTAACAGCTCTCTCGCTGTGTTCACCAGTTTCCACTGCTGGATTATAATTGTTTTCCGCCCGAGGACGACCGCTTGTGTTGCGATCGAAACGTTCGTGATATATTATATATTTTTTGTTTTGTTTAATTTTTCTACCGACGTGACTTTACCGAAAGAACCGAAGAGCATCATTTCGTGTTGAACCGTGTGACATTTTAAGAGCCCAGAATAAAGTTCCATTTGCAAGAGTGACCTGCGACATTCACTTGTTGTGTGTTTAGTACCCACTGAGTAATTTGGCGTTCGCAATTTTCGACTTTGGCAAATTTGGACCCTGACGCCAGCACACACAATGGCCAGCTCTTGTGAATGGCAAAGGAATAGGTTTTACCCTTTTAACTGGCACAAAAACTGACACCTTTATTCAAGACATCATGTTTGCAATAACCACAACACAAGCAGTCAAAATGCAAACAAAAAAGACAACTCTGATAATAATATTGGCACTGTCCTTTAATTTGATTGGTCCACACCCGAGACGGCTTTTCTTAGAGCCCCTTAGTCTCTCCACTGGTGTTGGACCAGAAGACGCCAAAAGGCGCACAACTCAAAAACAGCAGCGCACTATCAGAGTATTGAGGGCTCGGGGTGAGCATTTATATTATGAGACCTCCTTTGCCAGTAACAAGATATAGTAATAGGTTTTACCCTTTTAACTGGCACAAAAACTGACACCTTTATTCAAGGCGTCATGTTTGTAATAACCACAACACAAGCAGTAAAAATGCAAACAAAAAAGACAACTCTGATAATAATATTGGCACTGTCCTTGAATTTGATTGGTCCACACCCGAGACGGCTTTTCTTAGAGCCTAGTCTCTATTGGTGTTGGACCAGAAGACGCCTTGAATAAAGGTGTCGGTTTTTGTGCCAGTTAAAAGGGCAAAAACCTATTCCTATATCTTGTTACTGGCAAAGGAGGTCTCATAATGTCTTGTGAATGACGTCAAGGGATATTTAACGGGCGCATAGTATCGTCACGGTTAGTACACCCGCGGTTATAAATCTTAGGAACATTCAACCAGTGCATACGCGCTGCTTGTGAACTAGCGGGTCAGCAACATAGACAATGACAAACAATGGGTTTTTTTACATTATGAGACCTCCTTTGCCAGAAACAAGATATAGGAATAGGTTTTACCCTTTTAACTGGCACAAAAACTGACACCTTTATTGAAGGCATCATGTTTGCAATAACCACAACACAAGTAGTCAAAATGCAAACAAAAAAGACAAGTCTGATAATAATATGCACTGTCCTTGAATTTGATTGGTCCACACCCGAGACAGCTTTTCTTAGAGCCCCTTAGTCTCCACTGGTGTTGGACCAGAAGACGCCAAAAGGCGTACAACTCAAAAACAGCAGCGCACTATCAGAGTTATTGAGGGCTCGGGGTGAACAACGCATCACGCGTTGGGGCCCAGCGGCGCACGGACCTTTGGCCTTGGGGCGCCTGCAGCTCTCCACGCACTCCTCGATCGTACGGAAGTTGTTGTCGTTGCCTCCGCAGCCGCCGTAGACGAAGCCCTCGCACCGGCCCGTGGTCATGTTGTAGAAGTGACGCGCGATGGCGGCCCGGCAGTTGCCTGTCTCCGGCTCCAAGCGGCACTTCTTGGGCACCTCTGCAGTGGGTGGGGAGAGTGGGGGGGGGGGTTGTGGAGGCACGGCGGGGAGTTTAAACACCGACGCGCAAGGGCAATGACTATGGCGGGGCGTGCAGTTGCGTGTCGCCGCGGGACTAAATTCTCTGGCGCATTACGAGACCGCCTTTTGCCAGTAACAAGATATAGGAATAGGTTTTTACCCTTTTAACTGGCACAAAAAACTGACACCTTTATTGAAGGCATCATGTTTGCAATAACCACAACACAAGCAGTCAAAATGCGTTTTGTCAAAATGAACCACAGTACCTTGCATTTTGTCAAAATGCATTTTGTCAAAATGCATTTTGTCAAAATGCATTTTGACTGCTTGTGTTGTGGTTATTGCAAACACGATGCCTTGAATAAAGGTGTCAGTTTTTGTGCCAGTTAAAAGGGTAAAAACCTATTACTATATCTTGTTACTGGCAAAGGAGGTCTCATAATGTAAATGCTCACCCTGAGCCCTCAATACTCTGATAGTGCCCTGCTGTTTTTGAGTTGTACGCCTTTTGGCGTCTTCTGGTCTAACAACAATGGAGACTAAAGGGGCTCTAAGAAAAGCCGTCTCGGGTGTGGACCAATCAAATTCAAGGACAGTGCCAATATTATTATCAGAGTTGTCTTTTTTGTTTGCATTTTGACTGCTTGTGTTGTGGTTATTGCAAACATGATGCCTTGAATTAAGGTGTCAGTTTTTGTACCAGTTAAAAGGGTAAAACCTATTCCTATATCTCGTTACTGGCAAAGGAGGTCTCATAATGTAAATGCTCACCCTGTGCCCTCAATACTCTGATAGTGCGCTGTTTTTGAGTTGTACGCCTTTTGGCGACACCAATGGAGTCTAGGCTCTAAGAAAAGCCGTCTCGGGTGTGGACCAATCAAATTCAAGGACAGTGCCAATATTATTATCAGAGTTGTCTTTTTTGTTTGCATTTTGACTGCTTGTGTTGTGGTTAATGCAAACACGATGCCTTGAATAAAGGTGTCAGTTTTTTGTGCCAGTTAAAAGGGTAAAATCTATTACTATATCTCTGGCGCATGTCGTGATGGGTACTCTAAGATAGGACGTTCAGTTCTCGCCCGAGCTGCTTTGGTTTCTGGTGGCTGAACGAATACATGATGAGGTCGCGCTCGTTACGCACAAAGTGCTCGCCACAAATGAACCACAGTACCTTGCTGATCTCATCAAGGAGCATACACCACCGCGCAAACTCCGATCATCCCCGCAGCGGATTTTGGCTAACCAAGACGGTCACCGCATCACGCGCTTTCAGATGCAGCCGTCTGGAATGCTCTTCTGTCCGATATTAGTAAGCCAATATGGACGTATGCACTTTAAAATCTAGTTTGTTAACTAATTTCTTTCGAACTGCTTTTTTTGTGTTTAGTTTGTTCTCCTTCCCCCGCACCTCTGATTAGCACGGTTGTCTACGTACGGTGCGAAACACGTTCAACAAACATAAATAGTGCTGGTGGCAAGCGGGCATTCTCACCACAACCACGTGCTCAGGGGCTCATCCTTACACTGCAAGTCGGTTCGCGGTGGCAAGATGTTAAATCCCTCGCCTGGTATGCAGGAGGTCGTGGGTTCGTTCTCGACCCTAACACCTCCATATATATTTTGAGTTTGCTCATCTCTCTCTCTCTCTCCCCGTGGTCGCCTTGATTTTTCTCCGGGTCCTTCGGTTTTTCCCTCCACATTAAAAAAACAACAACAACATGAATTTAGAGTATTTGGCTGCTATAAATGTCCGCATGATAAGTCACCTTGTTGATTCATCACTTCTGAAAAGGAGCCGTGTAGCTCCGTGGGCCTTACCAATTAGGCCCCTCTGTCTGCCTCCCGCCCCCTCCCCCTCTTCATAGCCCAGTGTGAGGGAGTGTTTAGACCCCTGTAGATTTCTGACGTTGGGAGTCAGGACATTGTGAATAATTATTATTATTATTAGCCTTTTGTCCGTCCAAGGACGGGTATATTGCAGTGAATCTGAAACTTGCAAACGGAAAGCATCAATTCGTGTGCAATTTGTAAGGGCGCGGTGACACGGACCTATTTCATTTTAAGGTTACAATCCCTTGCTCATCGCGACGTCCTTTTTACTTCGATGTCTCAACAGCGTGACGGAGATCACGTGATGACGTAGTGAGGGTGAGATAACGTGATGACGTAGTGAGGGTGAGATAACGTGATGACGTAGTGAGGGTGAGATCACGTGATGACGTAGTGAGGCTTCTGCCTTTGCAGTGAGGGTTGTCAGTTGACGCCGGGGTGGGGAGAGGAGGCGCCTCGCCCCCCACCCACCCTCCCTCCCATGTGGAGTGACGTCACCTGCTCATGATTATTAATGAGGGGGGGGGGGGTCCATGCGGAGGACGTCACCTGCTCATGAATATCAATGAGTGGGGGCTGGTCGACGTGGAGTGACGTCGCGAGCGTTCCGGACAGACATTTCTGGATGATTATTGTAGGCATTAGAACCGCAACCATCCCCGTGGTCCTTCAGCCCCAACCGCCACCGCTTTTCTCACAGATGCAATTATTTTTGGGGCGTACGGCTTATTACGGAGTTGCACATCAATGCGGACAAAAGCCAAACTGAACAAGCTTCGTGAGAAACCATGGGCGGACACGCTAACCCATTATAGTAAACCCACCCCGGGCGGGGGGGGGCGGGGACGGTGAACATATCCCATGATTCCCAGGGTTCATATGAGACGTAGTGATCTGACCACCGTGGGCCAAAATCTATGGGTTTTAGAAAAAAAACCCCCCACAATATTTCACCCTGGCATGCGGGCGCTTACTCTGCACTGTCTTGCAGGCGATGCGGCACTCCCTGTGCGTCTCGAAGTTGTTGGCGTTGCCGTAGCAGCCGCCAAAGTAGAACTCCTCGCAGCGCTGCGTGTAGCGGTTGTAGAAGAAGCGCGGGATGAGGGCCTCGCAGGGCCCGGTCTCGCTGTCCAACGTGCAGATGGCGCGCATGGAAAGCTCCTCATCGGTCTCGTCGCCTGCAGGGAGAACGGGGAGGACCCTATAGCAAGGAAAACTCTTTTGTATGCTGCGCATGTGTACGCCGAACTTCTTTTCGAACCGTGCGTAGCCTAACCGTGATAATCGGAGTTAAGGCCCACTGAGCTAAATGCCTCTTCGGACGCGACCTGGCCGCCTCAAATTTAAGCGTGACGAAGCGGCTTATCGCGTGGACGTTTATGGCAGCCGAACACTCGATGAATGCACCTTGATTCTTAACGTGGAGCGGAAAAACCGGAGGACCCCGGAGGAAAATCCACACGACCACGGGGAGAGAAACTGCACTACTCCAAATATACAGCAGGCATCACCGTAACATCCGTTTGCACGCCATGTATTAGCTCTAGAATTACCACAGTTACCCAGGCAACGGTCGAGCGGTCAAAGGAACCACAACTGATCCAATGAGCCATTCGCAGTTTCAATCAGGGTCGGGATCAAACCCACGACCTCCTGTATACCGGGTGAGCTAGCGAACATATCGCCACCGCGGCACCACTCTAACCACTGTGGCACCCCAGGGTTTTAACTCCCGTCGTGTAAAAAAAAACAACAACAACAACAACGATGGTTTATTGCGCCGTACATATTTGTCCCGTCAATGTCGTGTTCAATCGCAATGCCGCAGGCGACAACAACACGCTCACCAGCCCAGCCGCTCAGTCGCTCATGCACGTCGAGACGCTGCTTCTCTTTCTGTTTCTTCAATCGCAGTCATCGACTGTGGAATTCCCTCCGTCCACCATCGCCTCTTTTGCCGAGATTTTTATTTTATTTTATATAATGATTGGCCTTGCTCAATTGAACAAACACGTTAAACAAGTATTTATTTACAATTTTGACAAGTGCTGTTGGTTGCTGGCCGTTTTAACGTTTTGGGTCGACGCTCAGCCTCTGTGTTGAAAACATAACGTGCGGTATTCATGGCATTCGTAGAGCTACCGTGAAGGCTCATCCATAAATGACTTCATTGGTCAAGTTCATTGTGGAATGACGCACAAACATGTTTTAACAAAATCGGTAGCAGTGTAACAACATCTTTTCTCTCCATGTGTGTGTTTTTGAGTTCAACGTACGATAATTTCACTTTTAAGATCATACTCCAGTGAGGATCGCCGCATTCTCTGGGTTATTGCTTGCGCGTGTGTGCGACCCTACTTAAATTAAATTACATTATTGACACAGAGCACAAGTTTGGGGTGCATCTTACTCTCTGGAGCATATCATAGTAATTTGAAGGATGCAATATGTGCGTGTGTAGTGTTGCTCCGGAGATACTTCGTAGGGGGCACGTTTTTATTATACACACGCACCCTAACTAATATACATCAATTCTAGATTTGAAGCTTTCGTGACTGCAAGGATCCATACTCTTTGGTTCTATTCGGTAAAGTCACCACGTAGGTAAAAAAAATGAAACAACAAAAATCTCACGACGTTTCGGCCACAACACAAGCGGCCTTCATCAAGGTCGCGGTCTGAGCGTGGCCGTGTTTCACTCCAGCGCTGTTCTCGAGACAGTCTGGTCCCTTCACCTGATGAGGGCCGCTTGTGTTGTGGCCGAAACGTCGTGATTTTTCATTATGAGACCTGTAAATGCTCACCCCGAGCCCTCAATACTCTGATAGTGCGCTGTTTTTGAGTTGTACGCCTTTTGGCGTCTTTTGGTCCAACACCAATGGAGACTAGGCTCTAAGAAAAGCTGTCTCGGGTGTGGACCAATCAAATTCAAGGACAGTGCATATTATTATCAGAGTTGTCTGTTTTTGTTTGCATTCTGACTGCTTGTGTTGTGGTTTTTGCAAACATGATGCCTTGAATAAAGGTGTCAGTTTTTGTGCCAGTTAAAAGGGTAAAAACCTATTCCTATATCTTGTTTCTGGCAAAGGAGGTCTCATAATGTAAATGCTCACCCCGAGCCCTCAATACTCTGATAGTGCGCTGTTTTTGAGTTGTACGCCTTTTGGCGTCTTTTGGTCCAACACCAGTGGAGACTAAAGGGCTCTAAGAAAAGCCGCCTCGGGTGTGGACCAATCAAATGCAAGGACAGTGCATATTATTATCAGAGTTGTCTGTTTTTGTTTGCATTTTGACTGCTTGTGTTGTGGTTTTTGCAAACGTGATGCCTTGAATAAAGGTGTCAGTTTTTGTGCCAGTTAAAAGGGTAAAACCTATTCCTATGTCGTGATTTTTTTATCGTTTTATCTTTTTACCTACGTGGTGACTTTACCGAATAGAACCAAAGAGTATACATCACATTCTTCATACAGCTGATCTTGAGGACCTCTTCCACTTGGTATACTATATGCCTCCTGTGTAGCGTGCCTAACCCGACTACGCTCCAGGTCCTCCGGCTGTAATATAACTACGTGAGACTACCCGATCTGACCCGGCCAAGGTACGGGTCCAACACTGACCCCATCACAGAGCTTCGGCCCTTAAAAGGACGGCGAAGCTAAGGGGGGAGGTTCAGAGTCCTACTCTAGCAGCGTCTTCTTGCTTCAACTGCTTCCGTCTCCAACTGCTTCGGTTTTCAAAATTTCGGTCACAGTCCCTATGAGCACTGTAACATTGCATTTATGGCTTTATTTATTTTGGTGATTTCGAAAACGTTTTTTTTGGGTTTGGCCATGTTTTTGTTTATTGTAGTACGGAGTTAGACTGATGGCCTTAATCTTAGTAGTCTTGTGGTTGTTGTTGTTGTAGTACGGAGTTAGACTGATGGCCTTAATCTTAGTTGTCTTGTGGTTGTTGTTGTTGTAGTACGGAGTTAGACTGATGGCCTTAATCATAGTTGTCTTGTGGTTGTTGTTGTTGTTTGAGTTGCATCCCACTGGGATTTTTTGCACACAGCGTTGGTGGTGTAACGGTGCTATTTCAGGAATATTTTGATGGTTTTTTTCTTGGATTTTCTGTTTTGCACACAGTCACACACACACGTAGCCACTGTAAGATGTTTTTCTTGTTCGTGTTTTTGGTTTTTTTTTGCTCGTTGCGGTTGCACTCCGATTCAAGAGCCGAATGGCTCACAGGGCTCTATACCAAAATAAATGGAAACGGAAATGGAAACTGCCTGGACCTCTCCCAGAGGTTCGCCTTGTATCCGCTTCTCAGCCGAGGCGCGGACCTCAGTGAGAGACGCGGGTGATCCCACCGAGGTCCGCATGTCTGCCGTTGCAGGTCAGTGCAAGCCGTAGTTCCCCCCGCCGTTGGGAGTGTTTGCGAGGGATCGTGGAATCCCACGCAGCCACCCCAAAACGCTTCTGGGCTGCCCCGTCATCGCCTGCAAGCGCAGCCCATCCGTGGCGCTACACGCGCATGATCTTTTGCTAGCCTTGACCAACATTTGGCAAATTGCAACCGCGCATTTTCAATCAAAACCAGAGGTACTAACCAGATTTTTTTTGTTTGTTTGTTTATCAGCTTCTCATCTGACAAATGGAATTCATTGTTTTCTCCCCAGACTCAGAGCTTGCGCGCCACGCTTACAGGGGTTATCATGTCCACCGCTGGATATATCTATGCACAACGACATATGTACAAATCGCTGCGCTCCATTTGAAAGCGTGAAATTTAATAATGCTGCTTCATAAAAAATAAAATAAAAACTCCCGATAGCTTTCATGTAACATCTTTACAACAACAAAAAACACCATCGCAATAATATAAATGGTGTAAAACTGTTAATGAATTAGTTTAACACGTAGGCTTTCGCGACCAATATTATTCATAATAACGGTTTTTGGGTTAGATCGCGTTTATTTATAAATGTGTCGTAACCCTCCACCACCCGACACGGCCACTCAGCAAAAAAAAATTGCTCTGTTATTTGTTTGCATGTAAGCTATCGCAGAACGCGACTGCCTAATGTCCCAAAACGCAAATGGCTAAATGAGGAAGCAAACTCGCGCTTCCTGGACTTCACCCTGTCTTGCGTGTATTATTATGAGAGTAAAATAAATAAAAACCCCTCGCCGTTGTTATTATTGCTGTGATGTGATTTTTTTTTTAGTAAAAAATGAACACAGTTAGCGAGTTTATTTCGGTTGGCGAGCGTTAGTGAGCCGAGAGGCCACAAATGGAGAAATCCCCAAATAGCGTCTCAACAGCTAGCGAACAACGTTCATTCGCAACATTGGGCTCGTGTTCATCACGATGGACGGTGAGCTTCCCGGTTTAACACGGAGGCTTTCGCGACCAATATCGTCCATAAATAGAGTTTTTATTTTATTTTTTTAGGGTTAGATCGCGTAAACATATGAATGTGTCTTTTTGATTTAGAGCTTTCGCGACTGCAGTAATTCATATTCTTAGCTCTTTCGGTAAAGTCACCACGTTGAAGGGAAAACAATAAAATAATAAATATATATAAGACAATAAAAAAATTCTCACGACGTTTCGACCATAACCGTTTGTGTGTTATGGTCGAAACGTCGTGAGAATTTTTTTTATTGTTTTATATATATTTTATTATTTTATTGTTTCCCTTCAACGTGACTTTACCGAAAGAGCTAAGAATCCTGCATAGATTTTGATTTAAAGCTTTCGTGACTGCAGTAATTCATATTCTTAGCTCTTTCGGTAAAGTCACGTTGAAGGGAAAACAACAAAATAATAATAATATATAAAATAATAAAAATATATAAATATATATTTCTTAATTTTACTGTTTCCCTTCAACGTGGTGACTTTACCGAAAGAGCTAAGAACATACAAATGTTGTGTCGTCAAAACCCTCCACCGCCCGACCGCAACCAACCGGTAAGGGTTATCACGTAAACAGAACGTGGCCAATTCGTCACCCATTTACGCCCCAAAAATAAGCATCACGTTCGTGCGCGGCCTCGCCCCCTCAATGGCGTGTCTTAAGGTCGGGGAGTCCGCGGGGGTTGAAGAGGATAACGACTCACGGGCACACCTTCATCGCTCCGCGGCGAGGCAAAGGGCTCCCCAATCGATGCGCGTGTGTCGTGCGGAT